TTCAACTCCCAGAATTCCCCAGCCAGCTGTTCTGGGAGTGGAAGTCCACACATCTTCACGCTGCCAAGGTTGAGGAACACTGGTATGAACAACAGTGCAAAGAACAACAGGTAGGAAAGAGTTGGGAAACAGTTATGCAGAGCTGAAAAACAAGGGTGAGGATGGGCAACAAGCCCCATGTGAGCCCAGCTGGTGGTTTGTCACGGAGAGCGATAGAAAAGCGTTCAGCTTTGATCATGGAATGTGTAGGAAAGATGCCAAACTCAAAATTCTTTTTCTGTTTATTAAAGCACATCAAGCATTCCAAGCAGGTCATCACGACATTTTGTCTAGTAGGGAACAGAAGAGGTCGAAGGCACAGCTGGCCCCTCTTATGGCAGGAAGTGGAAGCGGCTTTGATCTGAGGTAGACAGGAAGTAACTGTTACTGTCCTCTCTCATCCCAGCATTGCCACGGCATCCGTGACAAACCACTAGCCTTCTCATGAGGAATCCTGCCCCTTTCCTTTGGCGCCTGGCCAACCGTCTGGATTCCAGGTTTTGGGTTTTGCAGTCGGTTCAGCCATCAGCAGGCACCCAAACTCACCTGCCAGCTGCGGTTGGGAAAATATCCCTTAAATGCTTTATACTCATGGAGAATTTCCCCTGCCTTTAGTCACAAGGCTGCAGAGGTGACAGAATGCTTGGTTACTCCCATAACTGCTCCCTCCTTATCTTTCTTGCAGCTCCTGTAATGACTTTGTGATTTCTACAGAAACACCTTATTTTAGGATCATCAGCTGGAGCTCGGGGCAAAGATAAGTGATGGCTTTAGAGGTTACTGTGGAGAACTAATCAGCTAAATGAAGAGACAATCTGGTCCAAGTTGAGAAAGGGGTGTAAAGATCTCAGCTCCAAGAACAGTGACTTGGCTAGGGTAGAACAAAGGGGAAGAAGTAAGAACAAGAGGGGGTCATGGGTTAAAGGAATATGTGTGGCTGTTCCAAATGGGGGGGGGGAAGCAAAATTAATCTAGTCTGAAAAACTAGCACAAGGTGTTCTGCACAAGTAATGGCAGCAGAATCCTATTTCGAGGGGGGGAAAACCATTACCAACACAGCTCCTGAAACTCTAAAACTACCTTCTTCAATCTGGTATTTTCAGGATACAATTTCCAGAATTCCTAACTGGGATGGCCTTGAGGAAGAAATCTGGAGGATAAATCAAGTTGGGAAAGACTGATCTAAAACATGGATCTGTTATGGATCACAGTAATACAGCTGCATGTTCACAATCAATTTCAGCAAAGGGTCAAATTGGGGCACGGGTTAAACATGCTGACTCTCTGAATCTGTTCTGCCCCAAGGCCATCCTGGCTGAGGAATTCGGGGGCCTGCAATCTCAGTTCATCTGGAGGGAGCCTGGATACGGAAGCTTATCCTAAGGCAACCTGCACTGATTGGATGAGCTTCAGATGGGCCAGACTTCAACTCCCATCACTTCTGGGAATGCTGGCTATGGACCATGGGAATTGCAATCCAACACACTGGCATACAATCCTAATCTTAACCCTAACCTTAAGGCATACAATGATTTTCAGTTTAGGACTGAAGTAAGTTGAAGTAACAAGAACCCAGTGTTGGTAGCAGCCAAAGTTCTCAGTTCACAGTGTGGCCTGGAACCAGCACTGACTGGGCGTTGCTGGAATTGCATTCACGGCAACAGAAGGAACTCCAGCCCCACAAAAGGCTGGGTGGGACGATGTGCAAGGATCTTTATACTCAGAGGCCCTCTGTAGGACCCCCACCCTTCTACTCCCAACTTCAATCAACATCTTACCTCTTCTACATGAATTCAGGGAGAACATCTCTGGCAGACCAAAATGATCCAGTTCCTGGAAAAAACAAGAGGAGGAGGAGAGAGGAGGCAAAATGCATTAAGGAAGACATTACAATCTTGTACCAATTCTCCCAACAAGTGCTTCAATATCGAGAGAGAGAGAGACAGAACACAAGTGTCTATGTGTGCACTACTCTTATATTAATTGGACTGCAGGATTCAAAGTATCTTATTATCTTTTCCTTTTACTTAGGAATGTGCTGCAATCTGGGCCTGATGCAGAAAAGGTGCTTTGGAGGGGATGCGAGTACACTTGCTGCATCTTCCTGCAGTTCCAGCAAAGCAGTGTTGGAATTAAGGAGGCAGAGAGGTAGGACGACTTTGCTATACACCCTCATCGCCCCGGACTGTGCAACTTCCATGCAAGCCGAGAAACGTCTTTAAGGAGGTACCAGCAGGGGTGGTGAGGACACACACATCTGCTCTAAAGCACCTTTTCCCCTTTGGATTCTAGATAACTTTGCGTCATTGCTATTCCTTCTAACAGCTTCCCTAATCTTGGCTGAACATCACCAATTTCTCAATCATGTCTTTGTTCAAATCTGAAGCATTATCCTTCTGTTGTGTAACCTCTATCATCTTTTAGCTGTCACAAAGTGGAAACATGCATGAACTCTCATTTGTATTTTCTTGAAATACAGAACTACATAACTGAATCACATTTTCACTGAAGCCCTAGGAAAAAGAGAGCCCGCAATGCCATTCATTCTGCTTCTAGGCTGGTTTTTGCCCACTTACACACTAGATGTCTCAACAGGTGGCAGCACCTGGCTGATCTCCTATGAGCTCAGAAGTTAAGTAGGATCAGACCTGGTTAGTAACCCCCAAAGAACTCCAGAGCTATAGGAGAGATCACCTCCTGGGAAGAATCAATGGAAAATGCTTCCATATTTTGCTAAAAAATTCCTGCATGGATGTGTTCATGCACTCAGTTCAAAGGTATCTTTATCTTGACTTGGTCAAAGATGAAACCTGATCTACCAAGAGCTATGAGCAGGTAGCCAAGGGGAAAGAGTGACCAGGCTGTAAAGAACCATGATCCCCTTGAACAAAGGATCTAGACTAGCTTTTCAAGTGAGGCACATGGCTGAAATGAGCAAAGAATAGGAGCTTGCTTGCTTGCTTATTTATTTAGTAAACATACTGGCCACCCATCTCATATACACCGCTTATCATTGCATCAGCCTGAAAGTGCCAAAGAGAAGCCAGCAGACCAGTGTGAGGCCACCAAGCCAGATCCCTTTCCATCTCCTCTTACATCTGAGTTCACAGCAGCAGCCAAGAACTACAAACGGATTTTGGAAGAACCCCTATAAGAACCATTCAAGACAGTATAGCCCAAACACTTCCTGCATTTTTTCTCCCAAAGGCAGGGGGCTGGATACTTCATTCCCTAGAACAGGATTTCTCCATCTTTGTGGTACCATGGTCACCTAAAATATTAAATACATTGTGTGACAACCCCCCTCCCCCTGGGCATCAACAGCAGCAGCAGCGTGGGCATCAATAGGTGCTACAAGAATTAAGCTTTCTCCAATTGCGTGGAGTTCTTTTTTACTCTGGATTCTCAAGGCTCAAAATGCCAACTGCCATCACCCACTGTTAGCAAGCAGGGGACAATGGGATCCAAACTCCTCCCTGCCTCCAGAAGCCAGCCACAGGAGGACAACTGCTGCTGGAGAGCCCACTGGGCTCTGGTGGCAAAGCAGCTGGAGCAGCTACCTCAAGAAATGCCTGGTTCATCTGCTGGCATCTCACTGAGCACAGTCCTCCTTAAGGAGCATGGGCCGGGCTCTCTGGCCGCCTGGGCAAAGCTCCCTCCTGCCAGGTCCCTAACTGCCTTCGCAACCCATTGGTAAAAGGGGGAGGGAGAGGTACAGGGACAGAGGAAGTATTTTTGGGGGAAAGAGGCAAAGGAGGGAGTCAGGAATGGAGCCATAGGAAGCAGGAGGTGGCCCAAGGGAGCTGCACCCAGGAACTTGCTGCTTGCGTTCCTCTGAGGCATTCCGGCAAGTGGGATCCCTGCCAGCTCTCCTGGGAGATTCAAGCCATGGGACACAAGGGCGGCAATGACCTTCCAGGGATGGATGGATCTTACGATGGCTCATTTAATCCCTGGGGGTGGGTCTGGGGGAGTGAAGGGTTTCTTCCCATAGCAAAGGGCACATAATCCTTGCTTCAGGTACCCCAAGAGCCCTGCAATGTGTACGGCTGGTAGAGGAGCAACTAGCTTGAGAGGAGGAGGAGGAGGAGGAGGAGGAGGCGGCGGCGGTGGCGGCAGCCAAGGGGAAAGGTGGAACAGGAGAATGGGGCTTCTCCTAGAATCCAAGGGTTCTGGCTGCTGGTGGTATGCATGCTGAGCATGCGATGGAAGCAGGATCTCTCTGCTGTCCTTAGGCCGGGGACAACAGCTGCTCGGCACTGGCAGTAGAAGGTGCTAAGCACATATCCCACGTTTACCAGTGGCTACCTAGAAGGAGAAGCTTAGCATTGTGCTCCCTTCCTGGCTCTGCTTAGGCCAGCACCTCTCCTCCCCACACGGTGTGGGCTCCTGCTCTGGGACAAGCAGCTCTGCAGACCCTGTGCTCCCCCTCTCCTCCCTTTCCACCTTCCTAGTCACCAGGAGATTTGCAGCCTCACAGGGAGTCATGACCCAGTGTGAGAAGCCTTCACCTCAAAGGAAAAGGGGGCTCTGAGGGTTGGCCATCTGTCTTACCAGTGCTGAAATATCAGTGCAGCCCTTCACCAGCACCACCATCCTCCATCCTGGTGGAGCAGGTCTAGAAGAAATCTCCTGTTTTGTAAATCATCTGCACTAATAGTGAAGAGGTAACGTTTAATGACGCAAACAAAACTGTAGGATCACTGTTTATAATTCAAGCTAGATGGGCAAGAGCTTGGCCAGACCCAGTTAAGAAGCTGTACAGGTCTACTTTTCTTTGGGAAATATGTTGCTTCAGGCAGCACCATCCATTATGCTCCAGACTTGCCCTCCCCAACCTGGTGCCCCTCAGATGTGCTGATTTCAACACCCAGGTTCCCAAACCATACGGAGGGCTCCAGGTTGGGGGAGGCAAGGCACAGCTGTAAAAGAAATCTTCCAGCTGATAAAGAAGAATCTCCCATCTGCAACTGAGAGGCTGGATGCATAGAATAACTGCTCCCTCATCTTAAAAAGTTAAGGGGAAGAAAGAATGGCAGCGGGAGTCATTTTTCTCCTCAATGCACAACAACCTGCCATTGTCGAAGCAATGCCTAGTATCAAGGAAAATGGCCTCCAAGCACCTTATTGAAGATTCAGGGATGCTGCTACCCTGAAGAACAGTTCACAAAATGAGGGTACCAAAGATTTTAAGTCAAAGAAAGGAGCAGAAACAAGAATACGATCTGAGGGGCTATGTTTGCGGAACAAAACCTTAGAAGAGTCTCATGGCAGGAAGGTCTGAAAGAACACAAGGTCAAATTGCTGCTTTAATTTAGCTATCCCAACTCACCCCAGAATGGTCTTTATAGTACTGCTCAAACTGTGTTGAACAGTGATTTCAGGGATTTTCTGTAGAGGTATTTGCCCCCTGCCCCCAAATCTGCCTTTATAAAAGGATGGGAGTGTTTGTGAAGTCTGCATCACAAAGGAATTCCTCAAAGGAAAGCTATTATTTATAACAGCCCCCCCCCCAATTTGCCCCCAGATCTGTTGAGCTATAACTCCCAGGCTGGGTGGAAAGCATGGGGGTTGTAGCCAAACAGTGCAATCAGCCCTCTTTGCTGCATGGGCAGTTCCTGCATATCTTTTAGACGGCAGCATTTCTGCATCCCACCTGCTCCTGAAATTCTCTAGGGGCCATCCAAATTGACTCTAAACCTTCAGAGAGTTTTTGGAAAGAGAGAGAAGAGAGAAGGGAGAAGAGAAACAGAAAACAAGAAGCAGAACACAGTTTAAACTTTTCACCTAGAAGCAATGCTTTTTACAATGTTTTCCATATTTTAAGAAACTGCAAAGAAAAGGTGAAGCACATCCTTGGATAAGAGCTGCAAAATGGTACCCTAGTTTCCTTTAACTAAGATTCTCAAGAACTACAAGCGATACAAGTAGTCCTTGACTTACAACCATTTGTTTAACGACCATTCAAAGTTAGGATGGCACTGAAAAAAATCAGTTATGACCAGTCCTCGCACTTCCGACCATCAGTGTCCTCTCAGCCATGTGATCAAAATTCAGGCACGCACCTAGAGTCACTTGTATAGTAAGTTGGGCAGCATATATAAATTTGAAAAATAAATAAAAAATAAATACTACAGTTGTAGCATCCCCAGGCTCACATGATCGCCATTTGCGACCTTCCCAGGGGCTTCTGATAAGCAAAGCCAGAACTGTTTTTACTGTAAACCACCCAGAGTCACTTCCTAGTGAGATGGGCGGTGACCAAATTTGA